GAGACAGAGTGGGGAGCAGAACAGGCAGATCAACGAGGTACACTGCGGAGGGGAGCAGCGGGCGGGTCAGGAGAGGTCTGCTGTGCCAAGTGGGCACCTCCCGGGCGGGGCTCGAACTCATGCTGAAGTGGCTTTAGCTTCTCAGTGCTGTGCTGTAACCTGCTGCGCCACCAGGGAGGGCCCCAAGTAATTTTTTGCAAAGCAGTTAGTTGCCTCTCTGAAAAAGGTTCCCAAGGTTTCCTTTTTTATTTTTAAATTAACTCACTCAGCAGCTCCCAGACACAAGCCCGACAAGGGTCTTCATATCCCGATGTGCAGAGACCCAAAGAACTAGCACGCTGCAGAGGAGGAAGATTCACCCAGACTGGACCCCAGCAGGGAAATCTGGGCTGTGCGGCCCCCACCCCGTGCCTTGAACGGCTAAATTTAGTTTGCGGGATGCACTGCCGTGACAGGAACATGTTGCAAGAACAAGAAGCAAGCAAGAGAGAGCGCCGCAGCTGCGCAGAGAGGGTCCCTGGAGTGTCCGCCGCGGGAGCTGCCCGTTACCGCATCGGCTTCCTCGGTCAGGTCACCCTGCCCGCTCTCCGCTGCTCCCTCTTGCTGTAACCAAATCAGGTCGCCCCGCACCCCACGGCCCTGCCCGCAGCTGCAGGCCTGTCTGTTTCCAGCAGGGTGAGTTTCCCTGCTCTGCTGGCCCCAGGCTGTCACGGTGCCCTGGGTGTTCCTGCGGCCGTCCCCCGCCGCAGAGGCCCTTCACCGCATCTCCGCCGCCACGTCCCGCGCGCCGCCCGCCCCTCGCTTGGCTTCTGCAGTGGCCACCCACACCGTGAGCTGCTTCGCCGGTGACTCTGCCTCTGAGTCCCGGGACCTTGGCCCCATGAAGGGCCCCGCGTGCCATCGAGCAGACGAGGCGCCCCCACCCCGGATCACAGCGCCTGGGCTGCGGACCGCCGGTTCTGCACAGCAGAGTTGCATCCTGTTTCGGGGCGTGCCCTGGTCCTTCCTGCTCTATTTAGCTTCCCCCCCCCAACCCTCCCGAAGGTGGACAGAGATTTGAGCTTAGAGTTTTTTTGTCCGATGTCCTCACGGACAGGTGGGAGAAGCAAGGGTCTGGGAGCTTCGCTGCCACTTACACCGCTTGCTCCCGAGGACCCCCCCACAGAGAGAAAGGTCAGGTCAGATCAGCTGAGGACCCCCCACCCCCAAAAGAGAGAAAGGTCAGATCAGCTGTGGCCTGGGGCCGGCAGTCTTAAGGTGCGAGCAGGTCCGAGAACTCGGGGAGGTGCCGAGGCATCCTTCTCCCTTGCTGCCTTGTCCCCCAGGGCCAGGACGCCAGACCCCAGTTCCTGGGGGCACCCAAACTGGCTTCTCCCTACCCACGGTGCAGAGCACGAGCCCCAAAAAGTGCCTGCACCCTCCAGCCCAAGCTGAGGCGGGTCGGCAGGTCAGCAGCAGGGCCTGCGAGGTGAGCCCGGAGCGGCCTGGCAGCGGTCTGGGGTGGCAGCTCACCACGCACGCGGCAGACTGTTCCCTGCCACGGGAAGATGCATAAGATACCAGCTGCCTGCACAGGTATATTGGTTACAGAGGTCAAACCAGCGAAGTGGGCGCCAGTGTCGCTGGAGAAGAGATGGATGGCGACATGAGGGACATCTCAGCATTGTCACTGCTGCACTGGGGGTGGCGGGCCCCAGGTTTCCCAAGCTGAAAGTGGGGACGGGACGCACCCTGCGTGCAAAGCAGGCAGCACCCCGAGAAGGCGCTGGGAGACCTGGCGGGGCCTGAGAGCGGCGCGCCTCGGGGCTTAGGAGCGCCCCAACGCCCGCTCTGTGATTAAGAGCGCCACTGATTTCCTAGCCCATGACCACACTGCTGGGGTCAGAGCCTGACAGCAGAGGGCGGCGGGACGCGAGGGGCAAGAGGGCTGGGGACGAGTGTCCGTGAGGCAGCTGTGGGAAGGACGTGCGCCAGAGGACCCCGCCTGTTCAGAAGCGGCCTCGGCTGGCAAGGCCTGGCCCTGGGCTCCCAGCGGGGAGGGCAAGCCACGGGTCCGGGGAGCCTGGACGGCAGAAACCGTGTCTCTGAAGGGGTCGCGAACCTGAACCCGACGCCGGCCCCCCAACGCTGGACCCTGAGCCAGGCGGCTGGGATGGGGCTGTCACGGCCCTCCTGCCAGGGGCTGTGCTTCATGCTGGGGCCACCTGTGGCTCCGGGGTGGAAAGGCGCGCTTGGCCGTCTGGAGGAGCATAGGGGGCCGGCTGGGGGGCCTCTGAACTAGGGAGCAGGCGCCACCGGGGCCTCCCCCTCCAGCCCCCACACAGCCCGCAGCCCCGAGAGCAGCCAGCCGGGCTGCGTGTCTCCTGTTCTGTCAAAGCTGTACGTTTCCAAGGACGTTTTCTTCCAACTCCCCTCCGCTGCCTCAGCCCCCTTCACATAAAGGAGTAAGCCGCTTGCTCTCCTGAAGTTTCAGGGTCTTTTTGTGCCCTGAAAATAAATTGGAAACTGGGGAAGGACGTGGGTAACCTGCGTGTTTCTGTGCTTTGACGAGTGGCGGGGGAGGGGGAGGTAAGAAAATGTATACTTTCACTCAGCTCCTGAGGGACCCGGCTCAGCACACATGACTGTTCAAAACTGAGAAACAAAATCCTCTCTGTGGCTCACGTGTGAGAGTGACACTGGGGAAAGTGGCTCTGTCCTCTCCCACTGCAGACCTGGCCCTGACTCTGGAGCCAGAATGTGTCTGCACTGCAGGACTGGAAGGAGGCTCAAGTGCAGCCAGAGGCCTCAGAGAGCAGTAAAGTGAGCCGGAGGCCTCTGGGCAGTCCGGGAGGCTGCTGGGTGGTCCAGGGGGCCTCTGGGCAGTCTGAGAGGCCTCTGAGAAGTCCAGGAGGCCGCTAGGCGGTCTGGGAGGCCTCTGGGCAGTCTGAGAGGCCTCTGAGAGGTCCAGGACGCCACTGGGCAGTCCGGGAGGCTGCTGGGCGGCCCGGGAGGCCTCTGGGCGGTCCGGGAGGCCTCTGGGCGGTCCGGGAGACTGCTGGGCATTCCAGAGGCCTCTGGGAGGTCTGGGAGGCTGCTGGGCATTCCGGGAGGCCTCTGGGCGGTCCGGGAG